ATTTTGATAAAGATGTTGCTTTTATACTAAATACAGTTCATTTTCGAATTGTGATTTAAATAACATCTTTTCCAATTTTACTCTTGATATTAAAGATAAAAACTACTTGTACTCGCTAGGCGTTAAGCCCAACCCTTTTTATTTGTTGGTGTGTGCATCAGGTCCTCTTTAGGAAATAGTATTAGCGATATTGTGATGAGTTAAGTGCTAGTTAGAGATATGAGAAGAAAATAGTCAATTTGGGACGTCTTTCGTAACTTGTAGTAGCGACCGTTGTTGGATTTTAATAACACTCATTCGTATTATAGACCTTCTATATGGTTTGAATTCTAATCATTAAATTGTCATTTTTAGGTTATTTGGTTATTACCCGTCAGAAAGGAATTTATCTTTCAATTGATGTATTTAAAAAAAATTAAATTAATCGTTCTTTTCATATCTCAGGGTGTTAGACATACACATGAATCACACGTATAAGGCTTTCACAATGATGGAACCCCTTGTACTTCACAACTTCCTTCTCCAATCATTAAACACGGTTACCAAAAAAAAGTCGTTGGGGTGCGTATCACAAAGCCGACAATGGGTTCACTTTGGGGTTCGGTATCACATATTTTACATTAGGTTTAGTTGGAGTCGGTATTACAAAGCCAATGGGTTCACTTTTGGGTTCGGTATCACATATTTTACATTAGGTTTAGTTAGAGTCGGTATTACAAAGCCAATGGGTATGAGACTTCGCCCTTATGATTATATGTGCGCGCACGTGTGTGTGTATATATGGTGTGTGTGGGAGAGAATTAGTCAGTTGCAAAAACTTGAGAAGAGAAGTGAGGAGAGAATAGAGGAGGGAAAAGAGGGTGTGGATACACCAGAGAATGAGATGAGTTCGAGTAGAGGAGGTGGCAGGTTTGGAGAAGACTAATGGGTTTAGGGTTCTAGTGCCTATGGGTTTAGGGAGTTTGGGAAGACGAATATAAGGGAGGGAGGGGGAGTGGGTTGGGGTTCACAAAACTCGAACAATCGGAAAGTATCTATATTATATTATAAAGCATTTGACTAAAACTCTTAAAAACTCTTAAAACTCTTAAAAACTCTTAAATCAGATTTTATCCCTATTCGATTTCATTCCATATCTGAATTCGAATAACTAACTGTAGATAAACACAATCAAATACATGATAAACATTTAATTTTAAATATAAAAAATTTAAAATATAATTAGGATAATCATTGAGTTCTAACAGAATACTTAATTATTATCTTTATAACATGTTATGTTATTCAACCAAAAATAAATTATTTCATAATTAAACTTATATTAAATTATAAAAAAAATAATCTATACTATATTATAAAGCATTTGACAAAAACTCTTAAAAACTACTTTTTATGCGTAAAATACTGTTTATTAATGCATATTACTTAAAACTCAAGATTACAAGTAGATTGTGTGTAAGTATTAAAGCTCCATATCTGAATTCGTGTAACTAATTGCA